CCTCCATCATCCACAAATTTGCCATAAAGATGGCGATGTTGTGAATGAGCATGAAAGCATTGGTTTCCTTTTGTGCAAAAAGATGGCTTGGTAACACAATCCATATTTAATGTTGCAAGGGAAAGTGGACATTGCTGTCTCTCTTATATTCTCACAATCTCTGACAGGCATAGTTATGATTTGATTGGTCCACCACTACAGAAAACAGTCATTGGCTTGCACTTTGTGTTTGTGATGTTTGGCAGCCATCCATGGCTTTACGTTTAATTCTCCTTTTTTGGCTCACTTTGGTCTTGTTACTTTTTTCATTCACTTTATTTTTGTTACTTTTGGGAACTGAAAAGGCATTGGGAAGATCGGGGTGTACTTTTCTGCTGACCAATGGGAGGGCCCTGAACTTTGGAGTCTTTTTGGCTGAATTTGTCCAGTTGAAAGCCACATGGATTTTTGCAATGCTTTTGGAACACACCCACTTTTTTGTTGCTGTCCAAAAGATTTTTGGAGGACTGACATGGAAGTGTGTGAATCATGAACCCAAAGTCTCCAAGGAAATCATCAAAGGATAAAGGCTAGCCTCCACAACATTCTCACCCCCCTCTACATTCTTGTGCCTTTTTTTGCATCTTCATGTAACTTGGCAACCTCACATTGTGACATGCATTTAAAGCCAAATTCCTCCAGCAATTTGGAAATAGAGGGAAGGATACAGCACACAAAACAAAGAGAGACTTCATTTGGAAAACAAGAGAAAGGCAGGGAATTTATTCTAATGTTTATACGAATTTTCTCTTTAGGTGCATTATACACCTGTCTTTTGGCATGGTGGCAATAAATTAATGTTGAGAGACAAGCCTCAGAGGGAACAGGGCATGTGTCCAGGGCTTTGTGGAATCAATTGTGTGTCTAGTATACAAGAAGAGAAAGGGAGAGGATAAACAATTCCTCTCCACTACATTCCAAATACTGTAGCTATAGTATTTATTGTAGACTACAGTAAATATTGTGGAGAGCGCCAGCTACATTTTATGCTATCAATACAGACTATATGGGGCAATGCTACACTACTACCCTTGGGCAGCCCCCTTTGTGACAATTGTTCATACAAGCTGGATTTGACATATTAGTTGAGTTTTTTTAATTATATATATTTCTGCTTCTATTTCTATTTAATTTTTTGTTAGTATTTCAAAGAAAGTTTTTGTAAGTACTGTAAGCATCATGGGCATGGTTTTTCTACTACAGAAGAAATTATTGTAAATTTCTGTGGGTTATACAATGAACAAAAGCAACATGACATTGTTTGATTTATGTAGGAAGCACTTGTTTGTTTGTGTGTGTTAATTGTGTTGTTAACAGTAATTAAGTCGTTTACTACAATTTTTCATGATTCATATGTGAACCTGAAACACACATTGCCTTAGAGACATTTCATTTCTTTTGAGTTTTATTTTGGAAGTTTGAATTGCAGTTGAGCATTCAAAATTTTCATTTGAATATAAGCTACTTAATCATTAGTGAATATATTTTTTTCACAAGTCTTTCTATTGGGTTCTTAAATCAGCACAAACTATTAGAAGTTGTACAGCAAATTTGAAAGCAGAATTCTAAAAATGAAGACATGCTAGACTTGAGGTGTTTCCAAACAATTCTTTATAAGTGTGAAAAAAAAGTAGGAAAGTTTTTTTTTTAAATAAATAAATAAACAAATAAATGATATTTTACATTCTTAATTCATTGGGAATTTCATTTATATATGTGAATAAAATAAAATAAAAAATGATGATCCTACAAAATTAAAAAACTAATGGATAGATTTAAATGAAGAAAAACCTATTCAATAAAACTAATAATGGAAAATAAATTCTTTGAAATAATTCTAAATTTGAATGTTTCAAAAATAAGGTAATGTTCAATAATTCTATAATAATTTTTAATTTTAATTTAATGATGAATCCACAAAATTAAAAATTATGTACAAGACCAAACTTTTTTGTTTTAATGGTACAACTTCCGGTTTCATATTATGAAGAATAAAGTTTGTGATTCATGTATTCTTCAAAACTCCATTTTCCACAAAAAATAATCATGTAATTTTGGAGTTTTTTTTTTTTTTTTTTTTTTTTTTTTTTGACTATTATTGAGTTATTGACCACAACTCATGTATTCAAAATAATCGATTAGAGTTAAAAATAACTACAGTCAAAATCACTCTTGAGAATAAATTTCTTTTTACAAAACTGATGATATCTAAATTAAAGTTTTAAATTTTACATGCTAATATTTTCATATATAATTTTATATGTAAAAAAATTCTCATAATATTAACATACCATTACAATTTAGAAGTTTTTTACATACATTATATTAAAATTATATCCTAGAATAATGGGCTGTTTTTAGGTCTTCTAAATCATTGCAAAAATTAATAAAAAAAATAAATATTATATATATATATATATATATTATAATAAAAACATCTTTGCTATAGTAAGGAATATCATTCTTTTTTTGGACTTTAATGTTACAATATTGTATAGTTATTTAACTCTAATTGTTTTTTAATAAACTTGCTTTCAATCCTTTGATTTTGCTACTTTTTTTTGTTGTTTTTTTATTCTTGTAAATACTCCTTGTCATCTTTCTTTTATTCCAATTAAAAAAATGTCTTTACTTCCTTTCTATTCCTTTTATTTTAATGCTAAATTCCTTCACTAGTCCTTTCTCTTACAACTCATAGGTTTGACTATATCCATTTATATTAAATTTTTTATTCATTCAAAATTTTCATCTAAATAGATATTATTACAAAAAATAAAAAATAAAAAAGTTATCTTCTTTATGCACATTAATTATGATCAAAATATAAAAATCAAGTATTTAGTATAATTATAGTGTAATATTTTTTTCTCTTAATGCACAACTCCTAATTGATAATTTCAAGTGCACTTCTATTTATTTTTATGACTTCAATTGTATACAATTCATCCTTTTTAATACATATATATATATATATATATATTAAATAGATATAATATTTTACTAAATTTATCCATCCATCCTAACCATCATGAAAAAAAAAATGACATCCAAATTCATTTCTCTACTACTGGATCCAAAACCAATGAAAATCAACAACATTTATTATGATTGCTATATTCTTCATTTCATAGAGAGGTCAATTTGGTAAAAACCTATGTCTATTTAACATTCTTCTACACACACACACACATACACATATATATATATATATATATATACACACACACATATGTATATGTATATATTTACTTGTTTATTGATAAAAGATTTTTTCACACCCCTAAACTCAAGACAACTTTTAATCAAATTAAAATTCTCCTTGTAAAATTTAAATTCCTATAATTTTTTTAACATTGTATCTCTTTTTATAAAAGTTTTATTTAATTCATGTGATTTAGTTTGTTGGTTCTCTTTTCAAAATAATTTGTTTTTCCTATTTTTTTTGTTTTAATTCTTATCTTATACTATTATCAAAAATTGCAACATAAAATAAAAGCCATCTCTTATTTCAAAGAAATTGTTGTCCTCTTATATTTTTATTTAGCACATATTTAAAAAAATCTTGCTTAATTAACTAATTGTTGTTTATTCACCTCTCAATCAACTTGTCATGCTCAATTGCACATACATAGATTTTTTTACTTTGCAATTTTTTTCTTCCCAATTTAATTGTATATATAAATATATATATAAATATAAATATATATATAAATATAAATATATATATATATAAATATAAATATATATATATATATATATATATATATATATATTCATTCATTGCAAATATACACTCACTCAACACCTAAATTCACACCTCATGAAATTGTGCACACATACTTCATACTATTAAACCCATTTTCTTTTTTTAAATAAAAAAAATTAAAAATTGAGAGGAAAAAAAAATATATTTATGCTTATATTTGAAAGTGTCTCCAACCAATATTATATTTTCTTGTCAAATTCTAATTTTTACAATTATTGATATCCTACACAATACCTTATCATCTTTGAAGTTGATAGTGTTTGTAAAATATTTTTACCTAACAATTTCTAAACTGAAGTATTATTTTTATTTATCTCTCTTTTATTACTTTTATACTAATTTATTTAGCTCTCTTTTCATATTATTGTTCTTAAAAAACTCAATTTTGTTACAGCCAATTTTTATCACAAAAAATCCTTATTCAATAATTTTCTAAATATGCAATACATCATTTCTCAATAAAATTTCTTCTTCCTTTTTTACTTTTTAAAAATAAAATAAAATAAATTAAACATGAAAAAGTCATTAGTTCTATGTTGTTTTCATTGAAACAAAGTATGAATTTTTAGGGATAACATAAAAATTGCTCATTCTATAGATACCAACCTACCATCCTTATACACCATTGCAAACCATATGGCAACATATCTTCACTAGGATTTCTTCATAACCATTGCTCTACTACCCAATTACGTGGATGCACCAATTATTTATTGATTTATTCTTTAATTCAATGAAAATATCCAGCAACTATTCATCCTCCCTATACCTCCGAGGGGGGTAGATTCTGCCTTGCCGTGTGGACACTGCGGACGTCGTTCCAGCTTCACGGAGGTCTCTGCCCAGGAGTCCTCGTCGGGTTGTGGCCCAGGCCAGGATTTGTAGCACTGGAAACTTAGCGCCAGCACCAGGTCACGGCGGCAATAATTTGCAAGGATAGGAAGTGTTAACTGAGCGCAAGCCCAATTTAGCAAAGTGCTGGCCTGCCTGTGGGGTCTGCTCCGCTTCAAGCTGCATCTTCGTCTGATGTTGCCTGTGTACGGTGCAGCCGTGCACCTGAATCCCGACTCGACCCCTGAACCGAGCCATCGCCCTTACTCATTCAATTCCTGAGTCTCCACCTCCCTCAAAAGCAGACGAGCTCGTAAAGCCTCGTTCGCCGTTGCCGCGCTTCCTCAAGTTTCATGTGCCCAAGTCCGCTCCCCTCGCGGACTTGCATAAGTAGCTCGTCCCACCTCTCCTCGAACGTGCCTGGCGTGAGTTGACGGTCCTGCCACTCTACCTATGTGTGTGTCATCGGGGTTGTGCTATGAATGTCAAGAGTTCCATCTACTGGGGTGAGGAGGTTTCGAAGTCGTGCCGAACATGACTGGTGCGAGCGTAGATTTCGTCGCTGGTTTTGATGGGAACAACTTCATTTGAAGTGTTGCAACAGTTTGTTGGTGACGTTTGGACAGCGTGCCGTCTCATTTCCTTCCGCTAGTCTATGATGCAGATTCTTCATCTGTTTCGTGTGATGCTTGTGCACGAGTCAGACGAAGGTCTGCATCATAGTCAAGAGGAAGCAAATATGAAATTCAGGAGCAAGTTTGGCCCCAAAGCGAGTAATGCTGACACAATCTCAAGCTCCACCGTTGTCGAGTTGTTTGGGTTCAAACCCACTCCGTTGATAGGCTCGGCGATCTGGGTCCGCCAAAAGCTGCAGTGCGTTGTCTTGCATTCGACAACACGGCAAACTGATTGAGGTTGCCACCATGTATCACAATGATTGGATCGAAACACACGAGTTCAGGTGGGCAGCAAACACTGCAATTGTGCGGAAGATTGAACTCTCTTCTGCGACTCATCTGTGCAATCCAGCGAGCTACCGGTACATCGGTTCATAAACGTATAATAATCACAGGCACAGCTCTTGCGCTGAATATGAATTGCAATTCGCCGACACATAGTGCAACTGGGCTCAGACGTCGATGCCAAACAACTCCGGTGACGTTGCTTGAATGTCCCTCACGAGTTTCACTTGCGACGCTGCAGTAGTGAGAAGGGAGCTCGTGCATTGCTATACATCAAAGATGCTAACACGATTACACAGTGATTGTTGCTATGCTTTACATCGAACCACGTGAAGAACCCTGCCACTTCAGAGACCTGCCACATGATACTCGTCATACTTCCGCAGGCCGGACTAACCACAGGGTGAAGCGGAGCTGTGGAGAGCCGAGGATGCTGTCAACATGGATGTCATCCAGTTTAATATATCTCCAGGGAACTGGGCGAACGTATGGTCGGACATTTTTCTTCTGCAGAACGCCACCATGGCCGATGTGCCCTACGGAAGCTCCCCATTGACCATGGTGGTTCTGACGTCGATGTGCTCTCGGCACCAGATTCGCGCAGGCTGACCTTGGGAACACCTCTCCAATATCTGCTTGCAATCTTCACGGCTTGAGCCTTCGCAAATCCCCCGGACGCTTGCAAGATTAAGTCGCGATCGAACACAGCGCATCCCGGGTTTACATCGAAAACAAAACCCTATGCAGTCACCCGCAAGAGCGCGTAAGACTCCGTTTTGTGCATTGCCTAATACCTTCCTTCCAACGCCCATAGACTACTCAGCCGATGAAGAAGCGGTAAGATGTTTGACTTGTGCGCATCGCAGCAGCCAAGGAGGTGGCACACACGAGGTCCAGCTTCTACGTACATTGCAGGGGCTGAAAGCTCAGAGAGCGTATTGAGATGGAAGTTGCTTCCATTGTGAGCCGAATGATATATCAGCGCCACAAGATCGAAGGGTTCAACGGCTTCCGTTGCGATCGTAAGTTAAGCGAGGATGCTAAGCGGCGTGATAAGAAAATCCGATTGGCCAAGCGGAGATCCACGATGCGAGGTCGCGAAGAGGATGAGCGTGGGAGGGGGAGATTCTCAATGGGCGAAACGAGGCCGAAATGCGAATCAATCTTCTGTCGAAACTGAATTCATCACTTCACAATCTACAACAGAATCTTCTACAAATGGAAAATTGTGCACTATTCCCAAGTAAACAAACGTAAGTGACTCGGCAGACGAGGACTTTGCCTGCAGAGGACTTGCTACGGAGGGTACAGCACATCAGCGCGAAAGCTGGCGGTACAGCGGGGGTATCTTACAGGGCATCGAATTAAAAGATTCGTTATCATTCTTAACGATCGTACCATCTGAATGAGCACTGGTGTAATCTCGATGTGATAGCCCGGTTGTGCGTGGAGTGTCAGCGAGAAAAACGCTATGCCAATCAATGGGTCGTTACGGTCTTTTGGTCTGTACAGTGCACCCAATCTGGGATGCTGATCGCCGTTGAGGTCTTGGATGTGAGCATGTGCACTTTGCGCTGTCCTGGGCTGCAACCTTCCTGACGACCAGGTTCGCAGGAGTACACGTCTGGACTGCGGGACTCGCCGTGTATCTAGTGGCGTCAGGCGGGATCACGCAGCTGGACGAGCTCATGCACTTGCGGGCCTGCATCGGTCTATACCACAAATGCATGGGGGCACTCACCCAGCGGGAAGTGGTTGTCGCAGTCACTACCAATCTGCGCGGCCCCAGCACTTCGGTTTACACCAGCCGGACGGGTGAGCACAAGTATGCTCGGAATGCTTGGAATGGACGCTCAATATCTATCCGCAGATGTAACGCCAGAGCCCGAGGCTGAGCTGGACGCGGAACCACCTGAAGGTCGGTGGGTGGGTGGGTTGATTCCAGCACCGTGCGGGCATTGTAGCTGGATGCACTAGTTGCTCCTCACGTGCTGAACGGTGGTGGTGTGAAGTCGCTGTCCAGATGATGCTTGCCAACAATGAGTCGTGCAGAGTAGTCACCAGATTAGCAAGTGTGTGCCAGGTCGGTGTTAGACAGGATGCAGGCTGAGTTGGAAGTCGGTAGTGGTGGATGCGGCGCGTTGGAAAGAGTGCGATGGATGAGTGAAGTGGATGAGTTGAGAATTGCAACTCATTGTTCGTGTTCGTGTGCGATGCGTTGGACAACTTGAGTGGTGACGTTTGCCGGGCACTGCTTGTTCCAGAGGATGAAGAGTTTGAAGTGGCCGGAGCTATGACAATGGAGGAAGTGGGGCAGGAGATGGAACGTATGAAAATGCGACGTTCACAGGGCGGAGTGCAGCTTTAGAGGAGGAGTTTGTAGGTCACCAGGAAGCCATCCAGGCTACTCTTGAGGTGAACCCTGAAGCATTGGATAACAGAGTGATAGACTAATGTCCCCATGTGGAACGTGGTCAAAGCTCACCATCACGCATTAGTCAGGTTAACCAAGCAGTTGAGAGGTAGTGGATGCGGAGCGGAGTTGGGGTTATTTGCATGTGTAACGTCGAAGAAGGAGTTGGACAACTCTAGGTTGGGGTACAAGAGGAGATAAAGTCTGGAACGTCTGTCACAAAATGGTGGTGTGGTAGGGGTTTGGTTGTCCAGCGGAATGGGTTTTAGAATGTGAGTGCGCAGCATGGGTTTTGGAGGGTGAGGATGCTGTGCTGAGCGAGCGTTTAACCCGTGGAGATGGAAGCGGTGGAATTTGTAGCGACTTTGAGCAGGGCAAAGACGCTTTTTCGTGGTTGGCTGTGGAAGGGCAAAAGCTGTGCAGCTTGTGAGCTCAGTGGTGCTGACAGATTTCGTGAATGGAGACCCAACAGCTGAAACTTGTTAATGTGTGTGTGTGTGTGTGTGGAGGTCATTGATGTTGCAGTTCATGAGAACAAGAACCGTGTGCTGTTCAGAGGCCTATGCTTTACAACGCAACCGTCGAAAATGTTGGGGTTTGTGGGATGTGCAGGAGATTATGGACGTCCGTGGAGGAACAGCAGCTGCTTCCCAAGAAGAGGTTGAGAAACTACTGGCGGTGGTAGTGAGCAAGGCGGGGTTGGCGGGAATGGGAGAAGGCATGCAGTGTCCTGTGTGTCGAGAGGCTTTGGTCGAGGGCGAGACCGTTTCGGAGATGCCGTGCACGCATCCGTATCATCCCGAATGCCTCAAACCGTGGCTGGTCAGCCTCTGCCCTGTCAACCCGATTGTGTCTTCGTGCGTGTGCTTGTGACGTGTTGTTTAGAGAGAGATGAAAAGCTTCGGCCGAATACAGTGCGTGAGCAATGTTTGTGGCGGTGTTTCTGCAGGAGGAGCACAACTCGTGCCCTATGTGCCGGTTAGAGTTACGGACCTATATGGAGGACTACCAGCACAAGAAGCAATCGAAGCAAGAAGCAGAGAAGCAGAGGCGACGGGTTCAGCTGGCACGGAAGCAAGGTGAACAGCCCACAACCTGACGAAAGCATGTTTTGCACATGCGAAGGGGCAATAGTGAAGGATTGATGTCTGAGGGTCACGGTCAAAGTGCACGGATCCAATCCTGAGCTGGAAGCCGAGAGGATTGTCCAATGCATCTAAGGCTACGATTCTTGTTTTGTACACATCTTATGCAGAATCGATGGCAACAGTTCATTTGGGCAGTCCGAACATTCTTTGCATTGGTGCCTGTGCTCCTTGCAAGTCAGGTTGTCATGCAGAAAGTGCATTGCAGAGCAGCATGAGCGAAGGAGTGGAGCTGGATTGGAGGTTGATTTGTGGGGGTGTAGCTGAGGGAAGAGAAGACCGGGGATGCGTGGTGGGGGATTTCAGAGAGAAAGTGCAAAAGTTGGTAGAGAAAGAAGTGGATTGAAGGTGCCACAAGGTGAGTGAGAGTAACATGTGAAGTGTGGAAGGGGAGCATGTATGGGGAGAGGAGCAATTGTAGAGCAGTTTTTGAAGGGCGGTGGTCAAGACTGAAAGTGTCCTGCCTTTTAGATGTGCAGAAGTTGTAAGTCTTATTCCTATCGCATTCTAAGATGTTTTTTTAGATGAACCAGTTTAGTAAACTGTTCGTAAGGCCGGCTTTTTTTCAGAATGAGTTTCTTTCTTTCTTGGTTAACCAGCCTAATTCCATCAAGGAGGGAACTGCTTTACCACTTCGTGTTGTGAGAGTTGCTGAAAAAGAAACTTGTGTCCATATGATTAGAAATACGGGGATTTTAGTAATTGTTTCATTCAGTCAAGATTGTTGTCGAGATGGCGCACAGCCAGCTGTCTCTCTTGTATGCATAGTTATGGCGTCCCTGTCCCCAACCTCAAGCTTTTCAAAGTTGTGTAACATATCTAAGAGATATCAAGTTATGGAAATTGGTAGGGTCAAGTGTGTGAACTCACATTCAACTATTAGTGATTATGAGATGATGTTCAAGGTTATGTTATTTAGTGCAGATGTATCGTTTAGCTCCTGGTTAAGTTCATCACCATTGGCAGTTTCCTTTGTAATAGGTTTGTGAAGAGTAGTTTTTAGCTTGTAACAGTATAAGCTTAGTTCTTCAGCCCCTGGTCATTCATGCACAAACCAAAGGTATATACAACAATCATTTCACTTTCCAAAAGCATTGCCACTAATAACAACCTTTTGTTCACAATAAGTTACCAAGGTTATTGCTCTATAGCTGCTACTTAAAAAAGGAAGATGTTGGCCTTGACAATTTCCTATTTCATTGAAATCTCACATGCAAACTAGCAAGCAACCTTTCCTATGTTGCAATAGAGAAAAGTGAGTATTTCTCCCAAGCCAACACGAACGCTATTACTAATATAGTCATCAAATTCTGACATTTGACAAAAATAATGAATAATGAGGAAATTAGAAAAATCCAATTTCTACAATAGGGAATATATCTAAACATGTCTTTAAATGATTTTTGCTCATGGAGTTTTACTAGCTAAGAATCTATGGTACATATTGTATCCAAAGTGGCTACAAGTACAACACTTCTAGTCAAAGTCAGAAATATGTTATAGGCGAATTAACACCTTCTCTAATAAGAATAAAGTTTGTGTTGTAATTGTATTGATTTATTTCAATTTATCAAATGATAATACCATGTAGGCTTATTTGGTTTTTAGCGCAACAAAAAATATTATTTATCCTATATTATAAATTAATTTTGATATAAAACAAATCAATACAAAATCTTTAAGTAACCAATCAATATCAAATCACTTATTTCATGATAAAAATCATATTTATTTATTTTTTTCTAAAAACTTATTGACTAAAGAGTTTATAACATGCTTCTAACAAAACATAGATCTTGCAATTCTAATAAGTACCTTGCTTACTTCTACCATCCATAATTTAGGTAGATATAGATACTAAGAAAAATCCTCCAACTTTGGATTGAATATTTTGCAAACTAAATGACCTTAAAAGTGGAACTTACCAATGTTGACTTATTTCTAATAAGAATATCATAACCACAACAATCAAATATGATAGATCCACAATTTGTACCATCAATTCGCTAGTATAGTACAAAGATCTTCTAAGTTCCATTATGGTGTAGTGCTTTGATATATTAACAAATGAATTTTTTTTTGATAGTCAACCTTATAGAAGTAAGGTTAATTGAAACTATAGATAACATACTTCTTTAGTAAGAATATCTTTCAAAATGGCTCTAGAATTATTAGTCTTCTTATACCAATAAAGTGCCAAAACAATTTAGATACCTTTAAGATCATGAGGTGCCAATCTTAATAGTTGATGTCAACCAAGTATTTGAAGCTAACTTAATATAGAATTAGAATTCAATCCTTAGCCACTCAAAGAACATAATCTCCATGAAACTTATAAAAGGATCATTGATTTAATTCAACTTGAATGAATTGTATAACATGAAACAAAAAAAAAATATATTTTTTCTTTTAGCATAGTTAAAAGAGTTGTGCCTCTCTAATTATTATAATCAATTGATTTCATTAGTTTTAAGCTATAAAAGAATTAAAAGTACAAAATTTGGGATTTAAGTGCTCAAAATCTAAACAAACAACTTTAATTAAGAGTTAGCTTTTATATACTTAAGATTACACCATGATATATCAAAATTCAAATGGAGCAAGGATTTATGAATGAATATTACTATTTTTTTTTCTTATTTAAACATTTAAAAGAGATTTTAGGATCTTTCATGAATAATAGAGTCTTATGGATTATTCTATAAAACATTTTGAGCAATCAAACTAGTATTTTAAACCATGATGTAGTCAATAAATATTAAAAAAGAAATAAGCTTTGTCCTAATATAATTGATTTAATGTCCTAAAATACTCTTTGGTTTTTTTGGTGGATAGTAGAATTATTAAAGAAATTCGAAGATGATTCTTTAAATTATTTTCTTTAAATTATTAAAAGTTGGTGGCAAGAAATGAAACTTGCACCTAAACATTCTTTAAAGCACTTTCTATAAGGTTTTTATAAAGACTCTTTAAAAAAGATTCTAAATTATCTTCAAGAATATTATAAATCCAGACCAATATGCCTTCTTTTTCTTTAAAAATATTTTAGCTAACACCTTAATTATTCAATTTTTTTTTTATTAGGCCAAGAAATCAGATCAACATCTTTTGCTATTAAACTTCAAGTTTTCAAAGGCTTTTCATAAGGTCTCTTAGTATTTCATGTTAGTATATTAACTAAAAATTTATTGTACTTTATCTCAAGGGAGGAAATTCTATAAATTCTATGTTATTTAAATTCTTTTTAAATGGTGATATTGAATGCTAAGAGACCTTGTCAAAATTAATTTCAAGCACTTTGTAAAACTAATTTTTCTATCAAGAAATTTTTATAGAAAAATAGACAATGCTTCATATATACAAAGGTAACTCAAAAAATATATTATAAATTCTAAAAAGAAGACCACTTAGAAATGATAGATTCAAAAGAAATATTAATTATTTTTTTAATTAATAATTTAATTAGAGCTTTTTGTCTAAAACACTCAAACCTTCAAATATTCTTATGCAATATGCTTAAGACGGTCTCTATGAGTCATTGAAAAAGCTCACTTGTAGTTTTTGAACAAAAAATGCACTTATAATGCCAAAAATTATACTTTTTAGATAAATTAGTTTAAAAAATCCTAGATGAGGTCAATTTTGAGAGAAGAGAATATGAACATTGGATTCATAAGTAGAGGCGAAATTTTACATAATTTAGATGTATTTTTTGCTATTGGTAGTAAGTAAGAATTAAATAAGGCCACTATTCAAAAACTTGATGATATTTTTACTAATGGTAAATTAGTATTTTTTTAAAGCTAAAAAATCAATAATATTAAGTTTAGAATTTAGTTATGGTATAAGAGATTAAATTACATATAATCTTTTAAGAAGTACTATAATTTTAAGAAACAATATGTACAAATATAGTTTATTGCTATAATATGGAATCATAGGTTGTAAGTTTGATGCTATTGATTATAGTTTAGGTTTATTAGAACTAGTAGTTACAACTTAGCTTTGTTATATTTTTACATAAAATCCAATTAAGAAAGACTACCTTGTCTTCATAGATCTTAATAATAAGATTATTAATTACTCAAAAATCAATGTTATGATTTTACAATATAGAATCAAGTCTTTTGAGGTTGATAACATAGTAGCTAAAGTAATCTAATATCTTTGGAAGGAAGTGCTATTGAATGTGGTTCAAGTTTTTTGTGTATTCTTGGTTTTTTTCTCTTTCTTTCCATTCTATGGTGATATGCAAAAATATTATTTGAATTATTCGATTATAGTGATGTTGATGTATTAGTGGTAGTCAACAGGTTTTCTTCATATTTTCTTTATTGCTTCTCCTTTGACTTGTATTATTGCTTGGTTATATCAAGAGCTATGATTGATGTTCTTAGTATCATTGTGTAGTTCATATCTACAATTTTTTATTTTTATTTTGCTCTCTAATGGCTCTATGGAAAGTGGTGGATCTAGCTAGCTTTATTTTTCTTCCTCTTCTATAGCTTGGTGCTTGTTTTCTTCTTGCAAAGTACTTCTACAATACATTTTTGATTCCAATAGCATTATAGTGGTAGTTGACAAAATTTTCTAATTCAATAATTTTTTTTTTGCTACTATTGTTTTATTATCAATATTATTGTAATACATATAGTCTTATTTGAAAATGCACCAAAAACTTAGCTATAAAAGGTAAATTTAAAATTTGAAACAATCTAAGATATCATAATAGGTATTAATTAATAAAAAAAATATTATCTAATTCAAATTTAAGATATTTTGATTCCAATATAAAAAGCTCAAAAATACTCTTTTTTAATAATTATATGCATGTATAAACTTTAATTGCTTCATTACTTGTTATTCTTTTGTAATTTTGAATTTTTCTTATAAATACTAATTCTAGTTAATAAACTTCAACAAGACATAGCTCTCAATATGATTGTTTTCATAGTGTGAGATTTTATGGCCCAATGCTAATATAAGTCTTCTATAAATCTACAAAATTTAATCCAATTTATAATATAAATTGTTTGAAAAAGCAAAAATATTACACTAGTGTTTCTTTGTCATTAACTTGAAAGTTGATGAAGAAGTTTTAATAATATTTTTTCTTTTTTTAATTATAAATTTTGATTTAAAATTAAATTCTAGTTTTTAGAAGCCTTCTTTTGTTTCATATTCTAATTTTTGGTTTATAGTGCCTAAGAAAAATAGATCATTATGCTTTATTGAAGATATGCAGCTATTAAATGCAATAACTATTAGAAATATATGTAAAGGACCTTTAGTAGATGAGTTTGCCGAAGCATTTGTAGGGAGGGTAATTTATTCAATTGATGATTTATATTCAAGTTAAAATCAATTTTAACTTATACATACAAGTAGAGATTTAACAACAATGAGAATGCTACTTGGACTACTTAAAATGTATACTCTTCAACAAGGTGCTACTAATTTAGTTTCACATATGATGAATGGTATGAATAAGGTATTAAGGAGCTTCATTCCTGCAAAAAACTATGCCTTTTTTAGATGATGTTCCTATCAAAGGATGTAAAGAAAAAGAAAAGAATGAGACTTTAGATGAGAGGAGGGGTTGTAAGTATATTGTCGGTCATATACAAGATTA